ACCTCAAATGAGGCGTCTCTGGAACAAAATCCAGGTAATGTATCAGAGTAGGCTAACATGTTGCAGCAACAAACATTCACTTAATTTCAGTAGCCTTAACTTATCTCACGTTTGGTATTTGCCTTCACTGCGTGTCCCAGTGAGGACCAGCAGGGGCCACCAGAGTACATCTTCATCCCCATAGTTAGGACATCTGGCGGAAGGAGACGCAATGACTTAGTAACTTTTTAAACTGATGGGAAGTTAAAGTATTACTTCCGTGTGTTTCAGGAGTGTCAGAGAAGAGCCAATCCTACGAAACTCCTAGAATGGGAAAGAGCTGGAAACTTTGATGAGCAGGGCTAAGGACTACTTCCTGTCATTTCCAGTATTGAAAATAGCCACAAATTTGTATTATCTAGTACCTACTTTGAGACCAGGCAATATGGGGTAAAATAAAATATAAGACACTTCTGTTATTTTCAACAGATCAGAGGGACTTGGGTCCTGCTCTCTCCCATTCAGTTATTGCTGTGTAAGCCTGTTAAGTTCCTTTGCCTCTTTGGGACTGCTCTTTCAGCTCTTAACGTTGTCTGTTGTAATGCACGTAGGACCAGAGTAAGAGAGGAGGAAGCAAGCAAGCCCAGCCAGGGCCAGGCGTGCTACTTCAAGGAAAAACACTAGAATTGTGTCTTGAAGTCTATTGGATGATAAGCTTTCAGCCAGCAGAGGGCAGTAAGGAGACAGCAGCACAATTCCGTATTGTAATAGCGATTTAAAATGTCTAGGGGGGTCACTCAACTTTGGATGCACTTTAGAATTATCTGGAGGAGGTTTTTAAAAATACCTGCGCAGGGGCTCCACCCGAGACGATGAAACCAGTCTCCTCTGTGAGTGGAGCCCGAACATCGGTATTTTTTAAGTTTCCCAGCTATGTGCACCGGGTATTCCTTAATCCCTCAAGACTTGTCGGAGTGGCTGGATGACACCTAGTGGGCGCATTCTCATTAAGAGTTCTTTTTTTTTTTTTAATGGAGGGAGGTAATTAGGTTTATTTATTTAGTAGAGTTACTGGGAATTAAACCCAGGACCTCATGCATGCTAGGCATGCACTCTACCACTGAGCTATACCCTCCTCCCCTCATAAGAATTCTTGAATCGAATCCGATTCTTTTTCTTCTCTCAAAAGAGTTGTCAGAATTGCATTTTAATGGGGCGGGGGTGGGAGACATCAAGCTAAAGAAAATCTCTGGGACACCAGCGCGTTCCTAGCGGCTTAGGGCGAGCTGTGACGGAGGGCAGCACTGCCCCAAAGGCGCCGCGGGCTGCGTGCTAGGGGGCTCTAAGTCAGCTTTCAGCAGGACTGGACGAAGGAAACAAGGGTGGGTCCAGGATGCAGCGAAGGAGGATGGGAAAGGGAGAGCGAAGGTGGAGCCAGAGAAGACGTCGCGCGGGCCGGCTGTCCCGGTGTGGCCCTGACTTCCGTGCGCCCCGGGGTAGGGCGGGGCGGTCTGGTGACCATGGCGGGCCCTGATAGTGGCCCGGCCATCCCCGTGTGGCTGGCCGAGGACGACCTGGGCTGCATCATCTGTCAGGAGCTGCTGGCCTGGCCCGCCACGCTGCCCTGTGGCCACAGCTTCTGCCGCAAATGCCTGATGGGCCTGTGGAGCTCGGGGCGCCGCTGGTCCTGCCCCACCTGCCGTGAGG